CTTCCTGTTCCTGCTGACCTGCAATCCCTTGCTTCCTGTTCCTGCTGACATGCTATGTGTGCCTGTTGTCATGTTGTCCCAAGATTAGGACACTTCCTCTAGAAACATGAGCCAAAATAAACCCTCCCTTCTAAAAGTTGCTTGTGGTCATGGTGTATCACAGCAGCAGAAATGTAACTAATACAAATCCCTACCCCAATTCACACACTTCAGATGCACCAGAGGTTTAAATATAGTAAAAAATCTTATAAACAATCAGAAAAATGTTTAGGGCAGTTTAAAAAAAAAAAAAGAAGCAACTTTAGGGGGAAAGAGTGATATGTTAGACTATAGGAAAATGTTGAACTTTTGAGGGATTAAAATAAACCATACATTTAAATGGGGAAAAAAAGAAGTATATAAGAAACAACCTGTGAAAAACTATTTGGAACACAAATCAAAGAGTTAAATTGTGTAACCTTTCACAAATCAATAGGATGTCTTTCACCCCTAACCACTGAGGGGTCTCACTGAGTCACTCTGTCTCCCAGCCCACCTGACACAGGCTGGGAACTATCTTCCTTTGGCCTCCAGGAAAACACAGCCGTGCATCCTTATCTCACCGCCTGGACTCCTCAGTCTAGCTGTCAGGGTTTTTTCTCTCTGCTCCCAGCCTCTAACCAGAGGAGGTCCCGGGTGAGTCCTGGGTTTCTCTTCTGTCTTTGCTCAGCTCTCATTTAATCACAAGGCATCATAGTCTTTAAGCTGAAGACCAGATATCTGTGTCTCGAGACCAAAATTGTCCCAGAGCTACGGCCTTGTACCTCTGCCAACCCCATAGTTCCCCATGGAGGTCTGTTGGTGTTCATTCTTTACGTGTCCACATTCGTGACTGGAGCATAGGTATGCCGCTTGGGCCCCGTGCTCAGAAGGGCCCTGGGCTTGGTTAATGTTCTCCTGTCCCACATCACTTGGAAATTTAGAAAAATTATACAAAGGGCCATCGAATTTCACTTTGATCTTGTCCTCATATAGACCCATTTTTTTCCCACACCTTTCCATTCTCTTCACAGCTGGGTCACTTCCCTGCAGCTTCCCCTTTTCACTCTGGCTGTAAGTCAAGCTTCCCTGATCTGAAAATCCAGAATCCAAACTTCTGAGCTACTAACATGATGTCACAAGCATAGAAGTCTATACTGTGGGACTGGGGGTGTAGACCACTTGCCTGGCGCCCACAGAGCCTTGAGTTCAGTCCTGGGCACCAGGCATATCAGGCAGAGTGGTACATGCCTAGGATTCTAGCAGTTAGCAGTTGGAGGCAGAAGGATCAAGCCCTGATATTGTCCAGGCTCCTCTCCTACTGTGTGTATGCTGTGTTGTTTTGCCTTTTTAATTACTTAATGTGTAGGTGTTTTACTTTTATGTGTTTCTGTGCACATATGTGTGCAGTGCCCTGGAGTCCAGGAGAGAACAGCAGATCCCTGGAATTAGAGTTATAAGTAGTTGTGAGCCACCAAGTTGGTGCTGGGAATCAAACCTAGGTCCCCTGGAAAAGCTACCAGTGCGCTTAGCCAATGAGCTATCTTTTTCCAGTCCCTCCCATTGTTTTTTTTCTTCCTAGAACTCTTGTACACATACTGTGTTTCATGTTCCCATCTGCTTCTCCTCCATTAAAGCATAAGTTCCATGGAGAAGGCGTTTGGGGTCAGATCGGTTCACTGTTATGTTCCTAACCAAATCAGTGTTCAAAGCAAACAAGCCTCCTGATATCTACTGATAAATGGACATGGGTAGAGAGAAATGGGTAGAAGGCCTGGGAAGAGCCAGCTCACCAGCAGAGTCTTGGAAATGGCCAATGGATACGTACATTATCAGTGACTGGAGAAACGTAAAGTAAAATCACTTTCTCTCATCAGATTGGCAGGAGTGTAAGTGCCTGCCAACGATGGTAGCTGGGAAGGACGGTCCTGTGCACTGTCTGGGACTGTGAGGCAGTCCAGCCTCCCAAAAGGGTGTCTGGTTGTGCGGAACAGATCAAATGTGGAGTAGCACAGTCTCTGACTTGGGTAGACCCATTCCAGAGACATCTTGAAGGTCTCACAGTGCAAGCGTACACTGACAAACAAACCCAGAGGTTCCTTGAGTGAGGTTTATAAATAGTCAAATGCGGGAAACCACCTAAATGGCCCTGACAGGATTAATAATTGATGAAGAATTTACAGACCATCTACACAATGGATATGAGAGGGAAGATTTCCATAGATAAACATGGCTGGTCCACATGTTTGGCAAAAAATAGCATGATGAAGACATGCGCCTGGTATAACCACACATTTTTTAAAAAATATGTTTGCAAGCACAAAGGAAAAGGTCCATAAGGACAAACTTCAAATGCTTTAGCAGTGTTTAGTCTCTGGGAGGAAGGGCTCTAATGGCAGGCTTTCATTGCCCAGGTAGGCAGCTGGGTAGGAGACATACTACTTTAATATTGGGAAGATGCTTCTACCTAGGACAAAAACATCTTGGGTCTCTGCTAGGTAAAAGGATACAGAAGGAGGTCATTCCAAGGCCCCTGTATCCCTATCCTGTCTCATCCCTTAGCCTCTCTGCTCCACCTCACACCTCAGGCACTCTGGGCTCTTTCTATTCCTGATTCCCTTCTCAGCTCCACTCCTGTCTCACACTCTGTTCACAGGCACACAGGCCCAGCTCTACTCACCCCATGACCTCCTTAGCCTAGTTGTGCTATTATGAGGCAAAAAAGGACTTGCATTCTTTGCTTTGCTTTTCCAAGACAGGGTTTCTCTGTGTAATCCTGGCTGTCCTGGAACTCTCTCTGTAGACCAGGCTGGTCTTGAACTCATAGAGATCTGCCTCTGCCTCCCAAGTACTGGGATTAAAGGCATGCACCTCCACCACCTGGCCAAGAATCCTGCTGCATTCTTCAGGACCAGGACTGCAATCCCAGCCTCATAGGGCAGCCATGGGGGGCAGTTTGGGAGGGCAATGACTGTGACCTAAGTAGGCCAACTGCCTTGGCTGCAGGATGGCCAGAATAGGGGACCAACTGTACAGATAGGACATACCTAGGACTGAGGGAACACTTCCTCCAAGGAAGGAGCTGAGAACTTCCAGATAAGAGCTTGACTGTGGTACCAAAGATTCAAAAGCCAGAGTGATAGTGAAGAAGCTGCAGGGGCCTCCTGGGGTGGAGTACTTGGCAGGTGTGCATGGCACGCAGATCCCGAGTGCCATGCTGGGCCTCTCTGAGTAAGCACCTGAGAGAGGGACTTCAAGCCCTACATTGGATATCCCTTCATGGCAGGGGTTCAGTCACTGAGCACTGTCTTGGTCAAGACCCTGGTTCCCACACTGAGCCTTTGCACCCCAGGACAACACAGGCACATTGAGTTGCCTTGCTCTCTCCCTACCTGGCTCAGATGGCACAGGGAGTCAAAGGGGCTGCCAGAGGCCTGGGGAGCAGCAGCCTGCAGGTCTCAGCCTCAGCATACACTGTAGAGGAAGAATGGGAAGGTTAGTGTGACAAAGATGGGCTTTCAGCTACGCTGGAGTGGGTGGCCCTGGACAGCTCCTCACTGCCTTGCCCTCTGGGCTCCAAGCTACAGTCTAGGCTCTGGGCAGCAGCCTCCATCCCCATTCCCTAGCCCACCCTGAGTGACCACAGCCTAGGAGCACAGACTCCCTGTCCAGCCCTTTCTTCCCCACTGCCCCCTCGGTGTTCCACGGTCTGCCCACCTTGGCCTTATGGACACAGCACACAGAAGGACACCCTGTCACCCCTCCCCCGAACAAATCCTCTTCACCATTCCATGCTGTCCATGGAATCAACTCTGTCTCCCGCTCTCTGGAAGCTGCACTGGTTTGCCTCCAGCCCTTAGCACCCAGGCTTCTAATGTGCCACCCCACAACACTATCTGTGAGATCCCCACTCCTGCCTCAGCCTGTGGGTCTTTCTGGCTACTTCCTCCTTTGAGACTGACCTTCCTATACTGGTGACTCCCACCCTCCTCTTAATCATGGTCTCAGCACTGTTTCCCTTCCTCTCCCCTCACAGGCCATCACACTCAGGTCTCCGTCTCTCACCTATTCCTCAGTGGTACCCAGAGCATGGCCTTCAGGCCCTGTTCTTCTGCCTCAGCCCAGGTTGCATCAGTGCCTCTACCTAACTCCTCCTCAGCTAGGTTTCAGCCCAAGGCACTTCCTCAAAGAGCCCTTGAAGTTGTGGGGGCCTCCATGGCATGCTCCCTCTCCACATGTGTGTCACCTGCCCCTGTTTCAACAGTTCTATAGAACACAGTCGCTCAGGCACAGTAATCGAGGTATAATTAATGTGCAGTTCAGCTCACCCTTTCCACTGCACGGTTCTGTGACAACTGTATACAAGCACGCAGCCACCACCACAATGAAGGCAGAGAACAATTCTATCCCACGCCTCCATGGACTGTCCTTTGTAAGCAATGTCTCCTTAACCTCTGGTGACTATTGACCTGTTTCTGTCCCTATAGTTTTGCTTTCTCTAGTGTCTACAAATAGACTTCTATGTGGAGCCTCGCGTCTGGTTCTATTCCCTTAGCACAATGCATTTGAGATTTATCTGTGTTGTCTTATGTCAGAATCCCACTCCTTTTTATTGCTGAGTAGTATTCCATCATTTATCCACTCCACTCACCAGTTAAAGGGCACTTGTGTTGTTAACCAGTTTTTGTAGGCTATGAATAATGTCACCATAAATATTCAGATTTTTTTTTTCTTGCATGAGTGAAGCTGTTTCTCTCAGTAGGTACCTAGCATTAGCACTGTGAGGTTGTATGGTCAGCTTTCTTTGTAAGAAACCGCCATGTTTCTTCGCCAAAGTGGCTCTACCATCGTGCACTCCCATGAGGGAACTCTGAGTGTCCCGGTTGCTCGGGGTCCTCTCCGACACTTCACACTGTCAATTTGGCAAGGGACCAGGGCATCAATAGTGTAGCAGTCTCTCACGGGGGTTGTGGTTTGTGCCTCTCCCGGCCCCCAGCCTGCTGGCCGTGAGCACCTTCTCTTGTGCCTCCTTCATTTTCTAGCACCAACCTTATAGGAAACTTTCTTCTTAGCTTAATTGTTTTATTTTATTATGTGTGAATGTTTTGCCCAGTGTCCATGGCGGTTGGAAGAAGGAGTCAGATCCCTTGGATCTGGAGTTACAAATGGTTGTAAGCCTCTATGTGGGTGCTGGGAATCAAACCCGAGTCCTCTGAAAACCGCCATTGCTCTTAACCTCTGAGCCATGGCTCCTGCCTCCCGTTTAATCGATTACCCATTTGTTTTCCACCTACTCCATCAGTATCCAGTGCTGGATGGTGACAATGGCAACTGGCATCCATAGAGCCCTATGCACTGTTTTAGCACTTCGCAGATGCCAGCTCATTTAAGCCTCATAACCATCCTAAGAGAGACAGATGTTGTCAATAGCTCCCTAATTTGTTTCTTTGTGGTGCTGGGTCCCTGAACATGCTGGGCAGGCCCTTTACCCTAAACTGTACCACGAACCCTCCAGTGTTCTAATTCTGCATAGGAGAAAACAGAGACACAGAGAAGGAACCACCCACAGCCACACAAGTAACAAGGGGCAGAGCTGAGTTTTCACCCTGGTGTTCAGGACTCAGAATCAATAATCAGGACATTCCATGGACCACAACAGCCATGTAATAAACTCTGGGCAGGACAGACAAACAGGAAGCACAGCCTTGGCCTTTGTCGATCTAACAGTGACCCTGTAGTGGCCTTGGGAGCCGAGTGTGTTCACACAGGAAGGGCATGCTCTCTGCCCTCTATAGTCATCTGGGCTTGGGCCAGCAGGCTGTGAGTGACACTGCTGGACTCCCCCTGCTATCACCCCCCCACCCGCAGGTCCCGGAGGCCACATGGTGAGGCTGAAGGACTACAAGGTCCCATCTGGCGGTTGATCCCTGAGTGGCAGGGTGCACTCAAGCCTCGCCAGCTCACTGTCCTGGGGCTTGCGCTCCACAGTAACAGAGAAGAGAGTCGGGAGCACCAAGGCCCTTACTGGTAGAGCACAGACGCTGAGCCAGGTGACCGCAGCTTGGCCTCCCAGGATAGCTTTCTGTGAGGCAGAACTATGCCCCTGTGGACTATCTAAATAACTGAGGTTTGGGAGAGGCCACCACAGTTGCCAGATGTGGAGTTTCTTCTTCACAAGAAAGGTGCTCCCAGGCCTGACAGAGGGCTCCCAGTGGGGATATCCCGACATGGAGATGGGAGGTAGGAGTTGAGGCAAGGTGACAACGCCATGACATTGAGAGTCTACAAAGGGCCTGAACTTGACTTTAGGAAGTCCAGGGCACCCTGGGAGTGTCCACCCAGCCTTGGAACTGGGGCTAGTTTTCAAGAAGACTCCAGGTCCTCCATGATCCATTCAGCTGCCCAGAGTGGGTCATTGCAGGGAAGGAGAAACCCACAGGGCTTTGGTATGGCTAACTTAATTGTAGACTTATATTTCAAACTCATTGGCGCTTTACTTGGCAATTATCACTTTAGATATGGTGTGCTCCTGTGGGAGCATAGAACACAGAAGAGAGGCAGCCCACCTACCCCAAGATAACATTCACACTAGTGGCACTCAGTGAAAGGCCTTAAAGTTCACATAATCCCTGCCTCTTCACACTTTTTCTAAGACTTGAGACCCAGTAGAGGGGACTGTCCCCTCCTCAAAATAGCAGGTTCCCGCTTGGCTCCTCACAGGCAGTTAGAAAGACTTTCTAGGTCAACTCATCTTCTCGTGTGATTGGCTACCGATTTCCATGCATGCATGCACGCATGCCTCCATGCATCCATAGGCCAGCCTGGCTTTGAACTCCACTGAGGCATCATCTGTAAAGCAGCTCGCAGGGTTCTGAAATGTGGTGGAGAATGGAGATGGATGGGAGTGGAGGTTGTTTGAAGTGAGGACGCCCCTGGAGTGAGGGCAGGTTGAGTGGGACCCTAGGGGACCTGGAGACAGGAAACCTCTCAGAGGCTGTGGATGGATGGACTCTGTCGGATGTGGCCATTCAGGAGGGCCAAATGGCATCTCACCACCTTTTAATTTTCTTTTATGTTCATGGGTGTTTTGTTTGCATGTATGTCTATATACTACATGCATGCTATACCCTCACAGGCCAGAGGAGGGCACTGGAGTCCCTGGAGCTGGAGTTACAGAAGTTGTGAGCTGCCTTGTGGGTGCTCGGAATTGAACGAGGTCCGTGACTGGTGCTATTAAGCACTGTTATCTCTCCAGTCCAGCACCCCACACGTTTTTGGTGAAGGACAAACTGTCCTGGAAAACGGACACACCACCAGCAGCAACGGCCACTCTTTTCTTCCCGAGGTTTCCCTACTTGGGTGGGAAATCCAAAAATGCAAGATTAGGGATATCTGTGAGCACAGGCAGTTTCACCTGCTACAGGCCCAAGAACTCTGAGTTGAGACATGCCTTAGAGCACGGGATCTGCCCAGATGGTGTGGTGGGTAGCTGTGCCTTGGAGTAGCCGTGCATTCTTGATTCTGATTCCTGACAGGGATTCTTTCTAGGGTCAGATTTCAGGAGTGGCCTGAGGCTAGAGCAGCTGGGCTGGGTCAGCTCAGGCTGCGTGCAGCTGAGCACACTCACAGCGTGAGGGCTGTCACCTTGGAGTGGGAGGTCTCCTTCTCAGAGACTGGGCCACGGTAGATGAATGGACAGGCTTGTAGGAAATGCCTGACTGGAGGGGCCTCAAGAGAAGCCCCAGAGGGCACCTTAACTGCCCTCCTTTGATTTTTTTTTCCTTTCCTGCCAGATTGGGCTTTAATTCACAGTCTGGCAAGGGTTTGAGACCAAAAGCAGAGGACGAAGCTTCGAAGACAAATGCTGACAAGATTCTTAGGGGGATGGGGAAGCAAAGGAATGAGGTTGGTGGAGGAGGGATGGTGGAGGGAGAGGAGGAGGTGAAGGCAGAGCCAACACAAAGGCAAAGGGTGAAGCCATTGCCAGAACCGTCATCACCATCGTCATTGCCACCACAGATGCACCAACAAGCCCCTGTTCTAGGCGCACTGACTCACACTGCCCACAGACGCCCGAGGAGTGGGCACTGTGATCCTCCACTCTCAGGATGGAGGCCGGAAGGACAGAAAGATGGAATGTCTCAGAAGAGCAAGGCCACACATCAAACACAGGCTTCATAATTGTCCTTAAGAGTCCCCGATGATTCCAGTTGGTCACAGTAGAAATGAGTGGACGACCGTGGCAGGAATTCTATGGGGCGGGGGAGGCTGGATCAGAGTTTCTTAAAAAAAATTCTTTGCACCATTTAGTGCCTCTATGACCCTCAGTGAGTAACATGATGTCTCTAGGTCTAGTTCCTTATGGAGGACCAAGTTTCCTAAGGAAATAGGGGAGGAAGGGGAGAAGGGAGAGAGGAGGAGAGACAGAGACAGACAGATGGGGGAGAGAGACAGAGACAGAGGGGGTAGTGGTG